GAGGTATAGAAGCATAGTACTATGTGAGTGGAGCATCTTTTACACAAGGCACATTGATTACATTGGAGATCCACAGTCTCCTCGTTTCGATTAAGGGAAAGAACATTATAAACAGGTTTTTATGGCCAGTGTGCCCTGTTGTGGGATATTCTAATTTTAGAGGACGATAGAGTGGGGTGGTGATGATGCCAAATTTCAACTACCTTGCTTCTTCCGTCCTGTCTCTCAAGTCAGTATTTATAACACACCAGACTTGGCCCAAGCTTCAATCTTATCTTGTGCTATATCTATCTAGAGTCAGAATTCAAGAATGGGGCAGTTGTCATAGTGACATACACTAATATGTTTATTTAAATCTAATAATAGCATCACACCTGTCTGATAGGCACTCTGAGCTGATGGCATTTCTGGGTGTGAAGTTTGGGCCTGTGGTTATATGGCGGACATTCTGCATCAAGTGGATAAGCTAGATTCACAGCTTTGAAGGGAATATTGTAAAGTTCATGGTGCGATAAAAGCATTTCATCAAAAAATATTACATTGGCAAAGGTGTACTCAGCAAAAAAAAATATACTTCAATTTTCTCAAACCCTTCTTAATACTGCAAGGTATGAATAACTGAAAGGAAATAGCAACAGTCAAGATCTGAGAACCCTGGTAGAGCTTCTCTGGTACATGTCCCATGAAGTCCCCAAATGTAATGGAAGGGAACAAAACCTTCTCCATGTTAGGGTTTGCCACAAAAATTTCTTAACACAATGCAGTCTAATTGAGTTTTTAGCTTAAGAATCATAAAAAATTATTTTTGACAACAATCTGATTTTTGGCATACAGATGGGAAGGGGTCAAAGAACTGAGTGACATTGCTAAATATTAAAAAAAAAAAAAAACCAAAGAACTCCTACTCCCATCTGTCTATTAATGTGAGCAAGGTTTTTCAATTCTCACATCTATTAAGAAAGCAAGAACATAATGAAAACCCTGTCTCATTCTAGCAGGAAGTATCAGGCATCTCATATCTAAACATAACAGAAAAAAAACCCAACTTTTTACTAATACATAAACAGCATTTTACCTTTTTAAAAATATATTTTAGTTGTAGCTGGATACAATGTATAATTTATTTTTATGTGGTGCTGAGGAACAAACCCAGTGCCTCACACATGTGAGGCCAGTGCTCAACCACTGAGTTAAAACCCCAACCCCAGCATTTTACCTTTTATGTTAATATTTTCATGAATTTGTGTTTGCAGTCTTGATCACTCATATTCTAAAATTTATAAGAACAATGATGCAAAGAATCTTTTAGTACTAAAAAGTCTTATGGTCAAAGATACAGATTTATGAATCTTAACTTTTATACTTATTTTTGTGATAGTAGTCAATAAAAAACCTTCAGAAATATAAAATGAAATTAGGATAATATTCTATGGGAAATAAGGAATGGAAATATGAGTTACAGGGGAAAACAGAACAATAACTTTCCACCTATTAAAAAACAGCTTGCTCAGTATCTCCTCAATAGAACTATTGTAGCAATCAAATCTCTGTTGTTATCTGGATTCTACTGGATACTTCAAAAGAGTGTTACAACACTTTTATTGTAAAAAGTCAGTATTCAATATATAGCTGACCTCTTCTCTTCTCTTAAAATAATTCCGCACTAAGCTTCTATTAACAAACACAAGGTTGGTACTGGCGAATCCCTGGGTGTGAGCACCTACTCAAATTTTGCACCTAGATTCTGGTACTGGTTTCCACATAACCTAATCTCTAGATCAACCCTGCAGAGAAAGCACTAGAGCAAAGGATGGAGAGAAGAAAGAAAATAAGTGAAACACTAGAACTGGGCTTTGGGATTAAGAAGTCTTTCAGAAAAAGGACAATGGAAGTAAGAAAATAAAGAACAAAGGCTTATAACAATCAGCCAACATCAGTATTAGTACGATGTTGGGAATTTGTTTAGAAGCTTTAACCACAAGGAGATTTAGGGTTGAATTCCAGTTACGTAAAGTATTTATTTCCTGGAGTATAATCCAACAGGTTGGTAACATAATCCCATCCCAAACATTAGAAGAAGAAAAGAAGTACGCCATCAGTTTGGGGAAACCTGAGTCTCTACGTGCTTTTTGGAAACAAGGAAAGCAAAATGTGCATGTATGTGGAAGTGGAAGGAGAGATGGTGAGCCTTGCTGGAGAATGCCATAGGCCCTGGTGGACAAATGCCTGAAGAAGAAACAATGACCTCCTCCCTTCCTGAAACAAAATTAGACCTACACCATACCTGGCAGAGAAACATCTATTGTGAGTTTTAAAAGTCATATATTTTAAATGACACTACACCATCAAACTATATCATCATACCATAAACAGGGTACTGTTTTAGAAACTGGGATGGAACCCCAATTCAATGCTGCATAGTGGGGCTGCTGGTTAGGGATGCTCTGACTGTGCTGCTGACAGTGATGGCATGAGCAGAGAAGGTTCAAAATAACATTTCCTGATCTCTTGCTAAATTAAATAACTGGGTCGATAAGCTAAGGAAATAGAGATTACAGCTGAAGGGTATGTATGTATGACTTCTGTAACAGAGACTGACCCCACAAAACGATCTGAAATGAAGTATTTGGATTAATAGCTGTAATGGAATCATGAATATGAAATCGAGGATTTTTTTCTTTCTTTTTTAAATTTATTTCTTACATAGATGACAACAGTGGAGTGCATTACATTCATAATTATCCATTCACAGCACAATTTTTTTTTGTATGAATGTATAAGGGGGGTGACTCAAAGAGGATTTTTTTAAAAGTCTTCATTTTAAGTGTATTATAACCTATGGATACTACTATTTTCAAAATTATGACCTGTTTTGTGGAAACAGGCAGATATTAGAAGAATCTGATACCAAAAGTTAACTTTTTAAAATTTTGCTGTTGTGATAACATTTGTATTTCTATTCAAGATATCTCTTTAAAAATCTCTACTGCTGCCCAGCCCTTAGCCCTTCTGATTCTTTTTGTTGCCTAGGAGAGAGGATCCTATGAAGGACAATGCCCAAAGAACACCACCTCCAAGTGCTGGGGTATTTCCTTTCATTCAACATTAATAATCCTCTAGAATGTTGGTCTCTTATAAACCTCAGCAGAGAGCTGTTTCCAAAGACACTATTTCCCCGGAAGCTTTTCCCCCATGCTTTTAGTAAGTTCTACAGGTAGAGGTTTCAAAATATCCTGTGAAACCTTTTCAACTCAAACTGTTGTGTTTTTATTTGCTTTATTTTATTTATGATTCAGTACAAGTGTTTATTTGCACAGATAATTCTGAAGACAGCTATGCTCACCGCTCTGCCACCAACACTTCCTCACACAAATAATTCTGTACCTAAAAACAAAAAGTATCTTTCAAAGAATGACAGATATGTTCTAACATAACTGGAAAGTTTTTAAAAAATGACTAATCCCAATTCAGAATGTTTGAAAAGCACATATATTAGACATATTGAGAAACACAGAAAACTGTATTTTCCATGATGGACAAAAAGACTAAGCCACATTTGACATTTCTATACACTCCTTTGACCAAATGGCCTTAGATGTGGTACCAAATCTATAGGTAGTAAGAACAATTGTTTCTCAATTTAATGCTATTTAAATCGAGTAGAAAATATTATTTGAGTAAAGGATGAGTATTCATTTGTGAAAATGATTTTAATTTTAGGCACATACATATATACATAATTGCATGCTGCTTTGTAAAAGTAAATACATTTATTAAGGGTTTGAAAAATATTGACAACAATATATTTTTTTTGTCTTGAAATTTTCAGTCCCAAAGTGACTAACAATGTATAATTTACCTATGTATTTATCTATGTGCATTTGCTTTGTCCTACTGAAAAAGTACTTTTAGAGCCCAAGTCTTCTCTCAGCTGTAGTTAAGTGCCGATAGTTGAGAAATCATCCATTTCTCAATGCACCTAAATTCTGGTTTCACACAGGAGGCAGCACCACCCAGGAAGGTACCACAACTGACCCATCGTCTCAAGGAAATGGTTCAGCTGGGATCAAAGCCTTCATTATCGGTGTACAAAGTTTAAATTATTTTCCATTCAGGAGTTGGAAAACATTTGTTTAAAAGGAATGTATCTGGAATTAGAGCTCCTTGGAAACAACCTTTGGAAGTCTCAGATGATATCACCCTACTCAGAGAACAGAGGCCACTGAAAAACGCTGAAGTGGCACATCAGCACTTAAAAGATTTCAAGCATCAGAAGGACATGTTCAGAAGTTGACTCTACTTCTCCATGCAGGGAAAGTTCTGGGAGTAAATTCCAACGTTTAACAAGGTAATGTATAGAAGATTCCCTGGCATCTCAGGACCCACATTTTAAAATTTTCATCTTTCTGGGTAGTTACACTAAGAGGAATTAAGAGAATTTTACTCAGAATTCTAGCCTAAGAAGTGTTGACCACTACCTTAAAGAGAATTCAGGGAGTAATATAATGGGAAAAGTTGCCATTTCCCCATGGTCCCCCAAGATCAAACCCACCTGCACAGATAATGAAGCAAGAGACATATTCCAAACGTTTAACATGCCACACTTACAAATCCAAAGTACAAAACTTAACTTGGTGCACAGGAGTATAAGTGAAATCATACACTACCAATGTGGTGGAAGATCTGTTCTTTGAACAAATTTCTGAATAAGTTTATGCGAATATAAAAATGTGTTGTGACAATAGGAAAAAAAGAGCTTTTTTCTTATTTTCTTGTAAAGAAATGTCACATTAAAGCCATATTAACTGGCATAAAGAGTAGTTCAAATTCCGTCAGGAAAACTGATCTTAAGACCTTCTGAGGTTTTTGACTCTCACAGGTTTCTATAAACATTGCTGTGCATTATTTTCATGCAAGCTGTTTAAGAGTCCCTTCCAAAGGATATGCAATCACACCTCTATCTGCTTAATGCCATATGATGGAACAGACAGCTAATTTACCATTCCAATACATTTTCTGAGGATGCTCCAGATACTGAAGTCGTTTCTGGAAAACATGGGAGAGGGCAAACTTGTTCTGAAAAAAGAAAAGAAAAAGAGTTCATTTTAATGCCATTGACGTTGGAAAGGGAAACCTGTTGTCATTAATATGGGATGGAGGCACACATGTAAAGACACTTATAAAATGTGCATTGTCACAGACAGGGCAAAACAGTCAATCTAGGGTTCTGCCTGTTCACTGCTATTCTGGACCATGAAAAGTTCTGCAGCAAATCAGCAGGCCCTCTGTCTTCATCGTAGCATGACCCAGATTCTGTTAAGTCTTTCTCAATTCTTGGGGTCCAGCAGTCTGAATCACCTCAGAGGGACACTATCCTTTATGCATTGGCACATCTAACACAGTTGTTATGATTCAAGAGCACACCTGCTATACTCAGATATTTAACAAATAATTGTGTTCTAGCTTCCAAACAGTGTAAATAAAATACCATCACAGAACCTAAAGATTTTTATGAAATTAAATGGGAAAATGCCTTCGAAAATATGTAAGTAAAATATTAAAGTAAAATTTAGGTCCCAAATCACATATAGCACTTCCAGGACAATGACACTGAACAAAATTGAGCAACTCTGAACATATTGGAAAATCCTTTACTAAATAAACCTTGACAGAAAGAGCACCCTTGAAGCTGCTGCAGAGGTTTGGAAGTAGCCAGAGGGATGGTGGCTATCAGCAGCAGAAGTTCTGTGGCTTGGTTAAACAGCACATCACAGTCCAGGCACGGCAGGCCTGGTGGTGGGCAGGGTGCTGAGTCCGTTTCCACAGATAAGCAGAGCAGCATCACAGGTCAGGAGGGCAAGAGATGCTCACACCAACTTTTTAAAACACTGAATAACAATTCATTCTTTTTCCAGTTATGGCAAGGGATGACAGTTTTCCTGTGGCCTCGAAAATATGTATGTGAAATATTAAAGACAATATTAAACAAAGATATGTACCTTCTAAAAGAACTTCTACGTTAAACATTAATTTGACTATAAAAGTTAATAAAATTTGAAATTTTAAAATAAACAATATTACTTAAAATTCTCTATTGTAAAATTCTTTTGGTTTGTCAGGAACAAACGCTGCTCATTTGGCAGATATGTCATCTAACCAATCTGCTGGATAAATGGCCACAGATGGTATTTAAATCACATTCCCCATTTTCCAAGACTACTGATCTCTGTGATATGAACAATGGTTATAAGCAATACAGATCTCTGCCATTATCCACCATGTGCATGTATAAAACACTATTCTGATATATGTAAGCTAAATTTTCTATCTCCTGACTATGAAAAAAATCAGAAACGTAAAATATCTAGGAAGTTGTGAACCCAAAATAAGCATTGTGAAGACTGAATGAGGGCTATAATTCCCCCTATGAATGTTTACATTAAATGTGTCCTACTGCTCTGATTAAAGACAAGGAGAGCAGAAAAGCAAGAAAAACAACAATATTCTGGAGGCATTTCAAGAAATTCCATTTCTCAGTTCAGAAATCACCACACCAAGTGTCCTACCTGGCAACATCCTCTATACTCATTTTTATGCACATAACTTTTTGTGGTATTTTGTAAAAATTAAAATTATTCATTTATAAGTCAGACAATCTGAAACATTGTATACTTCTAGCACAAACAGATAGAAGAGTAAAGAAAAGGGATTTCAAAGGGTAAGTGGTCATTATAAAATCCGTATTATTTTCTCTGTAGTACATGCAGAGCCAAGTGCAAACCCTCACTCACATCCACACACTGTGTGCAATAAACAGATCAGATGCAGCAAGAAAACAATGGCCTGGGGACAGGCATACCATACACAAGCTGTGGTTCAGACTTCCTGGTATGACCACAATCTAGGTCAATAGCCTCATGGGGCTACCAGGACAGGTACAATGGCAGACTGTCAAAGCACAGAATACCCAACATATCTCCAAGGGCAATTCAAACTGGAATCCAGATCCAGGTGCCATATCTAAAAGGAATCTTAATTCCCTCCACTCAGGAGAACTTATCAGAGGCTAGGCAAAGGTGTCTGGAAAACATCTCTTGTAAGAAATGGCAAATGAACCCAAAGAAACTGGAGGTCTGGGGAATACTAGGCACAAAAGAGGTTCTGGGGTATCAGAGGACAGGCCTGGGATGGCAGTAACAGTACCATCTCTGTAAACCCTCCACCAGAGTACTATGCAACTCTGCTTCATCCTCCACAGCACTGATCAACATGTGACATAGGTTTCTTGCTTATCTGTTGACTCCGTGGCCCCAAAAGGTATGTAAACTCCCAAGAACTCAAACATCATTTACACATCATGTAGCCTTGTGCAGCCCAGCCTGCCGTGGACAACACCTAACTCAGAATAGGAGTTTAAGTATTTGTTGAATAAGCTTTGGACTTTATGAAGCCAGTTGGCAGATGTTACCTCTTTCATAAAGAATTTGGTTTACGAGCAACCTAGGACTACTGGTGAAAGTTCATGTTAGTATAGCTGACGTAAAGACCTGTCTTGCAATTAACTCCAACAATGGGAGCCCAGAGATTTCACCTCTAGCAGAGTTTCAGGCAGAGGCTGGAGGCTGGGCCTGAAAGGGCCCTTTTGCAGGGGGAGGCTGTGCTGCTGGACCTCTTACAGCGAACAAGAGAGCCCCACAACAAAGATCATCCAGGCCCAATATCAACTGTGCCAGAGTTGAAAAGCCTGCCAGAGAAACACGAAGGTGGTAGCCACATTAACCAAGTAAAAAGGAACACAATAAACTAATGTTTTTTTATACCAATATAAATATTAGCATTTCAACATGTAATCAACATAAAAAGTATTAGTGAAATATTTTATTTTTCCATACTGTCTACAAAATTCACTGTATATTTTACATTTGGAGTGTACCTCAATTTAGCTAGTATTTTCAACATTTAAAGAGAAATCTATTCTTAACAGAACATAGTTGTATTTAATGGACTATTATATACTGCTTCATTATACAATTGAATTTATATCAATTAAAATGTGATATGGCAAAGGTTCAGTTTCTCATTCATAGTAGTCACATTTCAAGTGCTCAAAAGCCACAAATGGCTACTTTATTGGACAAACTGGTTCTCTAATTAATTCTGAAAACAAAAGGAATGTACTCTTTGAAGATTGTGGGGGAAGAAAAAAAACTTTTCAAGTATGAGCGCCTAAGTTAGATTGAAACAGTTTACAGCTTGAGCATCAAGAAAATGTAACATCTTCTGCAGTGTTATTTAAAGCAGCAGGGGGAAGAGAGTAACAAAAAAAAAAAAAATAGGAAGATTACATTTTAAAAAAGTGATTGGCATTGAAAAGGATGTTTCTAGATTTTAAAATTCCATTCCCTCCACCAGAAAAAAGAAATGAAAAAGGAGAGAAGTTCCCACTGACACTGGGTGGTGGTTTTAGTTCAGGCAGAAGTCAGCACAGAAGAGGCAGCAGTCAGAACATTCAGGCTGAGCACACAGATTAGTGATTCTCTCCCGCTGAAGTTGATCTGAGGGTCATTATCCTACATTCTATGCTTCCTTTTTTTCCCTTCACACAGAGAGAAAGCACCCTGTACCAGGGACTGACAGTGCTATGCCTAGTTCTAGTTTGGACTATACAGATGACATTATGACTATCCACACAACAAGACAGTAACTGGTTTTAAATGAAAAGTCTCCTTGGAGTTGTTTTCTCACTCTGATGGAAAGGGCTCCATTTGATGTCCCACCATTATTTTCTTTCTACCCACTGCTGTAGGCAGACTCCAAATCAAACCAAATGAATTTATGAAGTGTAACTAAAGAATGCTGGGGCTCAAATCCTCATTACAAAAAAAGTTAGGCACAGTCAGGAGAACACAGCCCTTCCCCCGAGTCTTTAAAGGAGACTTGGCAGAAACCATAGGAAAGGCTCTGCTGGACAGCTCTGCACATTCATGAAAACTGCAGACTAGACCACTACACCTGCTGTACATCAGGCCCACTGCCTTTCTGTTCCATGGATTGCTAGGTTGTACCCACAACACTGCTTGCTCACCAAGAGCCTTAGAAAAACAGTAGATGAAACAAAGGCAAGCAAAATGAAGCTTGGGCTAAAAATGGGTGCCAAATGTGCCTTGCTGTTCAAGTTTGCCCACTAATTTTCATGAGGCACACCATGAGTTATTCTGGACCTTGGGTATGTAGATATGTAGATATCTATCTATCTATCCAAATAAACATCTTACACACACACACACATGTAAATAAAACATGTATACACACACATATACATATATATGTACTGAACTGAAATAATCATTATTTAGGTATGTGTGTATGAGGGAGTCTTTTTCATGGAGGACATAAACAAAACCTGTGGGATGGGAACTAGAGCCATAGCACACTCCTGCTGCTGCCTCGCTGCAGAACCTGGGGCAAATCTCCTAAGTCAAGGCTACGCAGCTAGACAACTGCCTATTTTGTTAAGAGAAATTTGTATATTATAAATATTTTGTTCACCACCTACTTTCTCCAAGTCTAATATGATTCTATGTATAGTATCACCTATCTAGGAAGATTATTATCATTATATTTTATAAGTGAAACAAAGTAACAGCTATCTTTCAAAATTGTCTTAATGGGCAAGATAAAAACACTTCATCATTCATTAAATAGTCACTGCAAAAGAAAGCTAAATGTCTTAATTCACAAAGTTTGGTAATCTCATTCTTGAATTTTTTTAATGAATAAAAAATTATATATTTAAACCAAAACATATACAACAAAAAAAAAGCATTCTTCTCAAGCACATACATAATCAAATGAGCAAAAAAGTATGTAGCTATTTTTCAAATTACTAAATAATACATTATTATAAAACAAACGAAATAATCCACCGATAAAGAGCAAATCTAGTCTTACTGCCTGCTCCAATACAAATAACGTGGGGCTCTTTTCCACATTTTTCTCTCTGCACATGCAAGTATATATATTTTTATTGAAATATTACCCTATAGCTCACACTGCTTTTTCATTAAATAATATAT